TTAATCAATGACACAATTCAAAACAATATATTTTTTGAGGATCTAGAAGACCTCAAGTGATAATTGGTGATAGGGTCAGTGGGAATTTTTTCAAGGATTATTGTATTTACAACTTTAATTGCAGAGAACTTAAAACTATTATTTGAATGCTGTTTATTAATTGTATGTTTTTCTCGCTGCTGCAAATGGTATTTATCTAGGTCGTAATATATAGAATTGATTCTCAGATAAATTTATTACAAAATAAATTTTTATTAACTAGTACATAAATCACATACATAAATCTATATTATCAAATGTTACAATTTCTTCAATGGAAGGCTTTGAGATATTACTTTTTATTATTTAATTGGTGCATAATAGTAATTATATCATTGAACACAAAGCTGTAATTAGATAAGTCCATTTGGAGATGGCATTGAACATCAGGCACTATTATTTACATCCACTTGGAGATGATTTTTTTTATTAATTCTGTCCACTCTCTCTCTCTCTGAACACTGATGATTTGTTTTCCAAGCCCATTAAGACTAAGCCTACAATGACAAGGGACAATACCCAGCAGATTACAACTGTAAATAAACAATATACATATAATAAAGTTAAAAAAATATTAAATATTAACAGTAGCCCAGATTATACATTAAACAGATGAATACTACTATATTCAATGAAATTATTGCAAACTTTTAGCATCAAAGTAGATATTTAATCAACTTTTCTCTTTTACTTTAGATGTTTCTAAGTAATTGATGACATTGTGTATCTTTAATATCAAATATTATAGTAATTTTATTGAATTTAACCTTAAAAGAGCCATACCTGGCTGCTTCATTTAAGTTTTTAATGTAAAAAACTTTAACATGCTAGATTAAAGCACTTGAGCTTGGCATTTGTGAGAGAAATAAGTTTATACTGTAATTTATTCCTTTAATTTTGTAGACAATTTACAAAATTAATATTTTAAATTAATATATTCCAGCTAATCCTCTTCCTCCAAGTAATTTCTGTATATTGCGTCAAATTGGTAATCACGGTCTCTTAGTCAGTTGGACGACACCGAAAGAAGGTTGTCAAATAGGAGGTTACCAAGTAAGAAATCCAGGATAAATAGTTTGCCATAAATCTTTATAGCAGGTTTAAATAGTTTTATGTTTTCAGATATATGTTGAAGGAAAACTTCATCAGAAAGTGCGAAGTCCGGAATGTACCAAAGTGATTCTGTCTAAACTAAATGTTTTCCAACCGCTGAACATTGGTATATATTCCATATCCACATTAGGGCACACGTCGGAGCCTGTGTTCGCTTTTCATCCCGGTTCTTCGCAACTTGCTATAAATAACAATAATGTACCATTTATGGTAACATATTTCTTTTTATTATACATTTTATTCTCATTAAATAAATATATCTGATAGAATTTGTTCTGATTACAGTGCAGGACGGAACATAGTTGTGTATTGAGGATATACGGAGAAGATAATGAGTGTCGGGAATTTTCTGTACAGAAAGGAAGTAATGTACTTGTAACCGGTGTTCCTGATGATGATGGATTTTGTACAGTAAAGGTATAGAAGTGTCAAAATATAGTAATTAATTTAATGAATTATTTTAAACTTAGTAGTAACTGTGAAGGTTAGTGCAAAATTAAAATTTACCACAAAGGCAGACAGGATATGTTAAAAATAATAATTGATATATTTTTTACAAGTAAACAATTTTGCATATATATACAGATTCTTCATTGGAAATTCCAACATCACGATATATTACAATAGCATGCGAAGTTATCGCTAGGACAATAGTTCATTATATCCAAATGTGCGGTACCAATCCCGATTGTGATAATATGAAGCTCAACCTTAAAACTAATCTTATACATTAACTTAACAATAATGGAAGGAAAAGATAGATACAATAGAAACAGGGATATCCTGGATTTTGTTCGGTGTATTTGCACTATGTGTACTGCTGGAAAGGATACCACACGATATTCTCCAAAAATTTGACTCGTTTTCTTCTTCTTCTTCTATGCTTAAGATTTTTCCTTTCACTGTTGTCGGTTCTACCTTAAAACTGGACCCCTTCTCTTAATGTACTTCCAAGATCTCTGGTTGTTGCTAATGTAACTCGGAGCATTCTCCTTACGTCCATATACTTCACAGTCTAGCAAGAGAATGCCTTGTCCGTTGTCTCCGTTGTCCTCAGGGTCCTGTTCACTCTTTGTTCTTCACATTTCTCAGAACTGGTCATCCCACCCAAGGGACAGGGATTTAGATAAGAAATAGATAAGAAAGTTCTAGAAGGAAATAGAACAATAGGACAAAGGGTAGAAAGAAGAGATTAAACTAAACTTAAATTAATATTTACAAAAATATAGCATACACAGGTTCCACTGTACAAAAGTATATACTTATTAAACTTACCTCATAATAAATTTCCTGAACTTTATAAAATAATAAATTGGAAAAAAATCAGAAATTGTTTTGTTACACAGAATTATTAAAATAAAAAATGATAAATAATTTTAATTTAAATGGTATTATTTATCATTTTTTGAACTTTGTAAATTTTTGGGAAAATTTTGTGTATGCTTGGGAAAATTTTGGATCCTAAAAATGGACCTCTTTTCATAAGTTGTATTGCACCATATTACTTCTTATTGCCTGCAGATGACTACATTTAGTCAAGCATAATGACAGCAAAAATTCAACAGGACAGCCAAGGAGGTAAATTCCCTGACTTTTTCACAATTTTTGACATATTTCCTATCTTTCCTTGACTTTTTCTGAAAACTAATGAAAATCCCTGACTTTTCTTAGCTTTCCAGGTGTGTAGGAACCCTGACCATAGTATGAATTCAGAAGGATCACATTTGAGAACTCTTTGTATTCAAATACACAGAGGAACAACAAGAACTTTTTAGAATGGAATATTTCTCAATTTTGCATTTGAATAGGCCCATCTTCAGATAGAATTAGTTTAACTTGGCTGAAATTTAACAATAAAATGTTTCTTATATACGTATAAAAATGATTTTACTATAAAAATGAATGTAACTGTATAACATTTATCTGGTATTATTTGAAGATTTAAAATTATTAAACCTTTTCAAAATGGAAACAAATATACAGTACAATGCAATTCCTGTTTACACAGTGTATACACAGATTTCAGTGTATTAAAAAAAATTCTTCTTCATAAAAGAAATTCATAAAGGTCTCACTCAAAAAAGGTTTCACATCAAAAACTGAAATTTTTTAAAATCAGACTATTTTGATAGAGGAGAAAGTTTCTTTATCTGTTTAGCTAAAATTTTAGTTCAAATAAAAAATATGGATACGAAAGTTAACTTTGTCATCATTTAATTCATATAGGATTATATAAAAAAAATATGTTATCAAGTTATTACATTAACCATAACAGATAAAAGTTATTTTCTAAATCTGTATAGACATTTTTGTCTTTTTATCATCACATCTCTTTGATTTTAAATATTTTTAAGAATAAACTTAATCTGATATTTTATTCTTATTACAGCAAATAATTTCAGTTGCATAACAAACAAAAATATAATTTGTTTTTCAAAATTAACATACACAGCTGTGACCAGCCCCAGTTACAATGGTCATCTGAATTGCCTGTTTGCTCAGTGTCCCATTTCACACTGTATAATGGTAAGTTAATATCTTATGATTTTATAACAAGGAGGAATAAAAAAAATAATAAGTTATTAGTAAAATAAATTTGTATTGTATAACTTATATTTAAAAGTACTTATTTACAAACAATTCCATACTAAGATTATTCATTTTACCTGGTTCTATATGTAGCCTTTCAGGACCATCTTGAGGACCATTTAATACATTACATTCAGCAGTAATAGAGACAGATATGAAGAAGTCATCATCTCTGTTACCAATCTGATTTGAAAAAAAAAAATTTTATAATTTTTGATTAAATTAAAAATTATTCCATTTCAATATATAACTAATAATAAGTTTAAATAAAAAAATAATCCAATAAAATCACTTCAAGTTTTTGTTTAAGACTTCTTATGCAGCATATTACATATTTATATAAATTTTCATTATAATATTTCTTCTATTACCAAAATTGATTTATTTCAAATTCAATTTTCTTTTGAAAAGATGTACAATATAAAAACTTTAACCAATTTCAAAATAAAAAAATGTTTCAAATGCAAAAAAGTATAAAATCTCTGCTCCATGTAAAAATGTTTAATATTTTGAATGATTATCATAATGTTATATAAAACATTATATAATTACTCTCACAGAAAAAGTTCTCTTCTATATTATTTGAGTTATTTTATAGAACAGTATCAGTTTATAAGAAGCGACAATTAAATGTTACTACAGGTTGACATTCAAAAATCCAACCATCAGTAATCCAGTTCCTTCATATTTCCAGCAAGGATTTCAGAGTGCATTTTTGTATTGGTGCACCACTGTTTTCTGAAATGCTTAACTAAAATTCTGTAGAACTGTTTATTTAGAATATGTAAAAAAACCATGTTACACAGTGACTGCTTGTCGGAATGAAACTGACTAAAAAAGTACATAGCAAGCCTATAGTACGCTCAGTGCACATGTCACCATTCGTCACTCAAGCTTAAAAAGGGGATTCCCCAAATTTCAGGTTGAAACTTAATTGGTTGTAAATGCGAGTGGTAGTTAAGCAGATAGGTCATAAAGTGAGGACTACCTGTAGTCATTTTTATACTGATGATCATGCTTTCCCTCTGATATATATATAATAGCTGGAAAAGTAAAATTAACATGCCAATAATGTGCAAATAAAATGAATTTTTTCCAGGTGTTTAAATACTAACTGTTATAATGTATGAAGAAAATAGGGTTTTCTCACAGCTGAACCCTTTTGAAAATTGTCACTACATGCTGCTGTTTAGCATGTAATATTTGCAAATGTCTATGGTAATAAATCTATCATGTATTGATGTCTGAAGAAATGTTTTAATAATCTTTTTATATTGTAAAATAACATTAAACTTGCTGTTATATTATTGTCGACTGGGGACTTATCATATTAGTAGGACAATTATACTGGTGTGCCAGTTATTTGCAAAAGGAGTTCTTAATCAGAGAAATAATTTTTTTATTTTTCACTTGTTTTTTTCCCTATACACATAACACACATTATATTCATGTTTGGACCAATAGGTCCCTATTCAGCAGGTTTACCACAACGCTGTTCCAAAAACAATTTGTATAACAATTAAAAATTATATCACAATATACTAAAAAATTTGACAAAAATTTAGTAAACTTACAATTTTCTTGTATCCGATTACATCAAAGTATGCAAAATACATACCCAAAAGAATCACCATTATAACATTGTTTAAGTACATATTTCTATATTAAAAATTTAAAAAAATTTTTTTTAATTTACAAATCTTAAAATTATTTACAAAATAGATTTAACTTACTTAACCATCCTTGTTCATTTGAACAAATAAATTACCCATCACTTCAGTCTTTTTATATCCCTTGCCTGTTACTGACATCATCAATTATACTCTGCCATGATTGGTGGATTTCTCATCCTAGGTTATTGTTGATTTTATTGCTATATCGTTTTTATGTAGATATGTTCATATAACTGATATTTAAAATTGTTACTTTCTTTTTTCTTTATTTTAATTGTGTTTAAATTTATTTCACATTCATTACTATTGCACCACTGCAGAATTTGCATAATTTTCCATCATCACCGTATATGTTCTTTTATGCATATTTTTAATTTCCGTTTGGTTTCACCTATATATGTTTTTCTTGGTTTACAATTACAATCAAAAGAATAAACTACGAGGCATGTCCGAAAAGTAAGTACCGTTTTGGAAAAACTCGCATAAAAAATATTTTTTCAAAACAATTTATTTTTACATGAAAGAGCATGTCTGAAACTATTTTTCTACATAGTTACCACCATTGTTCAGACATTTGTCATATCGGGAAACCAACTTGTTTATACCCTTTTCAAAGAAAGATGCTGCCAGTGAAGACAGCCACTGCTGAACATTGGTTGTTGCAACAATCTCATGCAAAACAGTATTTGAAATTTGTGGAAACTCATCGCAAAGCAATCTTATTGTGAACTGTCTGTTTTCGGGAATTTTTTCATTCACTTTTGCAACCAAACCATCATTGACAACAGAAGGTCAGCCACTCCATGCTTCGTCATGAACATTAGTGCATTCAGCATTGAATTGTTGAACCCACTTTCTAACCATTCCATCACTCATTACATTTTCACCATAAATCTCTACAAGTTGACAATGAATTTCAACTTGCTTAACATTCTTTGCGTTCAAAAACTGTATTACAGAATGCACTTCACAGTTGGCGTGATCGGCAATAGTCTTAAACATTTTGAACGCTCACTAACACGTGGAAAAACAACACAATCCGGCTGTAATGGCGTCACTGGACTGACAATCAACCAGAGAGATGTGTGCACAGGCGCTGAACTGCGATACTACCACTGCAATGACGGTTGAACGAAACGGTACTTACTTTCCGCACACGCCTCGTATTTCTTTTTCTTCCATTATATCAGGTTATTTTTATCTGACCTGTGATACAAATGTTTCTTGAATAAATCATTTTTTTAGTGTATTGTGATATAATTTTTGTTATACAAATTGTTTTTAAACCATTGTGGTAAACCTGCTGAAGAGGGACCTATTGGTCTGAAACACAAATATCATGTGTATTACGTGTACAGGGAAAACAACAGGTGAAAAATAAAATAATTTCTTTTTTCCGACTAAGAACTCCTCCTTTTGTGAATAACTGGCACACCATTATAATTGTTCTAATAATATGATAAGTCCCCAGTCGACAATAATATAACATAGTAAAATATAAGGACATAAAGGCCATTAAATTAATAACATTAAATTAAAATTTATTTATCATTTTTTGAACTTTGTAAATTTTTGGGAAAATTTTGTGTATGCTTGGGAAAATTTTGGATCCTAAAAATGGACCTCTTTTCATAAGTTGTATTGCACCATATTACTTCTTATTGCCTGCAGATGACTACATTTAGTCAAGCATAATGACAGCAAAAATTCAACAGGACAGCCAAGGAGGTAAATTCCCTGACTTTTTCACAATTTTTGACANTATTTGTGATATAACTGTAGTAGAAATTAAATTAAATTTCTGTTCTAATTAAATTTAAGTATTAATTTACATATAAGTAAATAAAATAATTTTAAAATTCTTTCAAATTTTAATCATCAAAAATTGAATCAAATTTATAAAAATAAAATAATCAAAATTTTATCATTTACTCATTTTATAGTATTTAAAAATAATATATAAATACTATATGTAGTAGTTTTCATGTACTTAAAAAAATATACAGTAATCAAAACATTTCTAAATATGTACAATTTTTAATGAGCTTTCCTCAAATTTTAATACACTTGCAAATATTTTGAAGGAAAAAAATTCAAAATTTTGTGATTGTAAAAATATTTTTGCTGATCTCAAGTTTAACAATTCTTCCATTATAAAGTGTTTTTCAAAAGATAAACACAATTTGTTTACATCCATTTGGTCAGAAATATAATAGTTATAAATAGCTTATTAAAAGCATTTGCATGACAGCAAAATTGGATCATTATTTTTATGTCCAATCCAATAAATTATTTATATTTATTTATATATTTAATTAGTAAGAATAATAATTAATATGATAGTAGCAAATCAATCATGATTAGTTACTTTAATAATTAAAATAATTTTTTTGAAAGTTCAGATGAATCTCTCAAAAGTTTGCAGAAAAAATTGTATTAATTCATCAGATTAACCTTATCAATTAATATAATGCTTTTTGAAAGATTTTAGGAAATTAATTAAAAACAAAAATAGTTAAGTAAATGTAAGATTGAATACCAAAGAATCATACAATGATATGAATAATTATTTGGATCATTATTTTTGTGTCCAATCCAATAAATTATTTATATTTAAGTTTGTTTATATTCTTAATTAGTAAGGTATTAGTGATTTTTGTATTTATTTTATCATAAAACACTTAAAAGCTTGCATTATCTTTCGCTGTGGATCCCTCACAGAGAAACATAATGCTATTTTAATCTGTAAATGATCCAGCTGATCTAAGTGAATTGTCACAGCAGAGTGAAGACAATCAACAATTTCCATGCTATTCTATATTTTATTTAAATTTTTTAAATATTTTTAATTTTATNTTATCATTTACTCATTTTATAGTATTTAAAAATAATATATAAATACTATATGTAGTAGTTTTCATGTACTTAAAAAAATATACAGTAATCAAAACATTTCTAAATATGTACAATTTTTAATGAGCTTTCCTCAAATTTTAATACACTTGCAAATATTTTGAAGGAAAAAAATTCAAAATTTTGTGATTGTAAAAATATTTTTGCTGATCTCAAGTTTAACAATTCTTCCATTATAAAGTGTTTTTCAAAAGATAAACACAATTTGTTTACATCCATTTGGTCAGAAATATAATAGTTATAAATAGCTTATTAAAAGCATTTGCATGACAGCAAAATTGGATCATTATTTTTATGTCCAATCCAATAAATTATTTATATTTATTTATATATTTAATTAGTAAGAATAATAATTAATATGATAGTAGCAAATCAATCATGATTAGTTACTTTAATAATTAAAATAATTTTTTTGAAAGTTCAGATGAATCTCTCAAAAGTTTGCAGAAAAAATTGTATTAATTCATCAGATTAACCTTATCAATTAATATAATGCTTTTTGAAAGATTTTAGGAAATTAATTAAAAACAAAAATAGTTAAGTAAATGTAAGATTGAATACCAAAGAATCATACAATGATATGAATAATTATTTGGATCATTATTTTTGTGTCCAATCCAATAAATTATTTATATTTAAGTTTGTTTATATTCTTAATTAGTAAGGTATTAGTGATTTTTGTATTTATTTTATCATAAAACACTTAAAAGCTTGCATTATCTTTCGCTGTGGATCCCTCACAGAGAAACATAATGCTATTTTAATCTGTAAATGATCCAGCTGATCTAAGTGAATTGTCACAGCAGAGTGAAGACAATCAACAATTTCCATGCTATTCTATTTTATTTAAGAACTTTTTACATTTTTAATTATTATAAAATGGCAAAAAGCTTAATTCTTAAATTAAGGATTATTTTATATGATAGTAGCAAATCAATCATGATTAATAATTTACTTTATTTTCATGACCTTAATAATTAAAATATTTTTCTGAAAGTTCAGATGAATCACTCAAAAGTTTGTAGAAAAAATTTTATTAATTCATCATATTAATCTTATCAATTAATATAATGCTTTTTGAAAGATTTTAGGAAATTAATTAAAAAGAAAAATACTTATGTAAATGTAAGATAGTGTGCCAAAGAATCATACAATAATATGAATAAATAGTAAATTTTGAAATATTAATTATATCTTTAAATAATATTTTTAAAATAAATTTTATATTAATATAATAAATTATGACAACTTAAATATAATAATGTTCAAATAACTTAATAATTTCAAATACTGTAAATGATAGATAGATAATTAATAATCTACCAAATAGAACAGACTTGCTAAGACTATATGAATGTTCAACTGCAAGTGCAAGAAACATTTGAAAACGATTTGAAAATTGTATTGCAAATTAATACAGAAATTACTTTGTTACTATCTCTCTAAAGTTAAGAACAGATAACAGTGGGTTAAACAAATATTTTGCCATTTATAGTAAAGTGGAACTGATATTTCATGTCAACTTAATGTACCTCACTACATATCTTTTTAAATTCCTGTAAAGAGTTTCACAAGAATTTACTTTTTATTCACACGCAACTTTACAATACTTCAAATTTGACTATAGTAGAGATTTACAAGGGAGAGTTTGTCATCTTAAATAGTGATTCCATGAAAAAAAGTGAGAGAGAGAGGGAGAGAGAATTATATTACTAATAACGTACAACTACACACCGGAGTTTACTAAATAATACGTACCTCCGAAACCTTTAACCGATGTGAATAAATTTAACATCACTAACGTTTTCAGACCCCTCCTGGGTCCTTCTTCAGGTAAAAATCGTCAAACTAACCATTTGTTTCGAAAGAATTTTTCAAAACATCGAACGATAGAACAGCATTACGTGTTCCATATTCCCAAACGTAAAAGTTTCCATGTCATAGCGGAGGCAATTGAAAATATTTTTCTTTTTCTTTTTTATATAATTACTGTTGTAAGATCTTTGATGTTAAGCAAAAAACACATTATATGCATACTGTCTACCCTTTCGTCCTCCTTGCTTAAGTTTACAACTCCCTTAATCTTCCTGTTGCATTAGGGCTTGCCAAGCCAAAGATAGAGAGATTTCATCCGTGGACGAAATCTCTCTATCAAAACGAGCAGTTGGGATCAGGTGGAAGGAACACATCCGTGACATTTGACTTAATAAATGTTCCACATCCTTATCCACTTACGCGCCTGATCCAGAGATCATAGCAGACTTCTCAAATGCCAAGTTAATCACCACCACCCCATATGCAGACCATCTCAAGTGGTTAGAGCAGATAGATATATACAGGGCATACAACAATTCATCACCCATTAATTCCAGGGATAAAATCTCTCTATCTTTGGCTTGGCAAGCCCTAATGCAACAGGAAGATTAAGGGAGTCGTAAACTTAAGCAAGGAGGACGAAAGGGTAGACATTATGCATATAATGTGTTTTTTGCTTAACATTAAAGATCTTACAACAGTAATTATATAAAAAATAAGAAGAAAAATATTTTCAATTGCCTCCGCTATGACGTGGAAACTTTTACGTTCAGGAATATGGAACACGCGATGCTGTTCTATCGTTTGATGTTTTGAAAAATTCTTTCGAAACGAATGGTTAGTTTGACGATTTTTACCTGAAGAAGGACCCAGGAGGGGTCTGAAAACGTTAGTAATGTTAAATTTATTCACATCACATTAAAGGTTTCGGAGGTACTGTACATCTTGCGGCCCGTGTCCTCCTTGTTGGGTTGCCTTTTCTTAATTCCTAACGAAATTCTAAGGTTTCATTTAATTTTTAAATTAGTTACTCATTTTTATCACAAAATTAAAATATTTATTAACAGAAAAATTTGTTCTAGTGGTATAATTCAGTTGAGTACAAATTAGTACCATTGTATTTGATTAATTCAATTTTGATATATGCAATAGCATTGAGGAATTAACTAGTATACTTTATGAAATGTACTTACAATGCTCTTCTTTATAGCTTGTGCCCCCCCCCCATTTTTTAAAATCTGCAGGTGCTGCTGATTGATACACATTGATGATTTGTAATATTTTATATACAAAGTTAGTACCATTACTAAGCAAATGGAAAAACATAATTCTAATCTATCTATCTGTCTCATTTGATATGGATTAGATTCTACACAAATTAATTATGAATTATCAAAATTAATATAATGAAAATGGAATATTTGATAATTTTTAATATCTAGTGTACAATGCACTTAATATGATTCTTATTTAAAAAGAGAGATAAATTTCTATTAAAATTTTTATTTACTTCTTAAACAATATCATTTAAGATCATCACTGCAATATATACTGAAACTTAACTTTAATTTTGTTTTTTTGCTAATTTTTTATTTTTGTGTTCTATATTTGTTTCTTACATGTAATTTTTGTTTAATTTAGTTTAAAATTTCTATTTTCCCTGTAGATGAAAAAGAAAGACTACTAAAAAATATACGAGACTGATTGTTGGCATTAGACTTGAAAAATATTTATTTAAACATGCAATTATTGATAAGAAAACTAACATTTACAAAGCTACAAAGCATCTTTATATATATATATATATAAAGATGCTATATAAAGATTATATATATATATAAGATATATATAATTGTATAAACAATTTATTTATATTATAGAGCAATATTAAATTACTAATATAACTATGTCATAAAAGAATAAATACTTCATTTTACTGTTACAAAGATGATTTACTAAGAAGCCAAAATTTATAAGTTTGCTTGAATTTCAGAAATAGAGATACAACTTTCTACGTAAAATACTGGTGCCACTAAGTATCACCTCTAGAATCAGCCTTTAGAATTTCTGGTACAGTTCAAAGATAATGATGAACAAACGTTTTTGATCCTTAATCTAGATCTGCTCCAGATTCAAAACTTGTTCCAATTGCAGAATGTCAAGAATTTTGAATGTTTCCAAATACAAATTGCTTGAACCATTAATGTATTGATAATAAAGATGTGAATGCTTGCACCCCATAATTATATTTTAATGCTGAGGCTGATCATTGGGGGAATAATAAATATTTACTGATGTGGATGGTCTTCACAGGCGAAATAAAGATATTTAAAGACTTAATGTTAGGAACTTATAATTTTTGTAATTGAATAAAATTTATTAACTAATGCTATTTTGTTTATATATTGCTCATTTCAATAAACAAAAAGTTTGTTTAGAATGACATTAATTGAGTAATTTATCAAGTAAAATTATAATATAACACACAAAACATTTCACTTACAAAACATCTGTAGGCTTCATCCAAACGAGATTCTCTTTGATTAAAAACAGCAAAATAATGATCTTTTCCAACATACCAATCTCCTAAACACATATATTGAACCTCTAAAACAATAAACATTTTGAAATTTAAAGAAGTTTTGAAATATTAAGCTGAAATGCAATGCAATTTTTACATTTAATGTTAATTAATAATTAAACCAAATGATTTATAGATTCTTTAATTTAGCTATATTTTGGCTAAAAAGAATTTAAATTATTTGTAATTATTGAAATAATAAATATATCTAATCTTAATACATAACTTAATTGAACAAATTATATTTAAAAGATACCTGCATCAATAGTTGATTCCATTCCAGGACATTTACGATAATTAATAAAAAACTGCTGATTTTCAATAAAAAATTGAGTTCCAGGTTTCTGACATGCAGTGATATTTGCATTTGGATTTCTACAATCACCAGTAAATAAATATTTGTTTTGATATGAAAATTTCCAAACTCCTTCTAAACTAGATCGACAATTTTTAGGTGTTGGTTGCTTGGCTAATTATAAATTAAACAATTTACTTATAATTATGTAATTTTAATAATAACAATAATAATACTTTAAGTCAAAAATGTCTCACCAAATAATGTAAAATATTTTTCTTTATTTGATAAATACTTGCAAATACTTTCAACAGAAGGTTCTTCTCCATTCTTCAATGTAACACATCCAGCTGTAATAAGAATTTTGTTTTTTTTTTTGGAATAAAAATTATACTTTAGATTATTCTACAAAAAAATATAAATAATATTCACAACTCCACATAAAACATCTTAAAATATTTATAATGAGAAAAGTTTTTTTTGTTATTTTATAAATACTGAGTAAGATCTAAAGATATTGTATATGTTTAAGAAGATTACTGTCCTATTATAAATTACAATATTATTTTCAGTTTGCATTTTCTATATAATTAAGTACAACAGTTAAAATAAAACTTAAATAAAAAATAAAATAATGTAAGAGAAAAATATAAACAGAACAGAAGTTTTTCAAATATATAATTATTTGGGTTGTTCAAATGATGATGATAATATTCCTTGTCACAAATGCAACATAAAACAGTAGCGCCACCTGCATATAGAATGTTTGAGAGCATGCTAAAAGCAATCTGGTTTCATAGTCAGTAGTAGTACAGAAAATTTGAACATTTAGCACATCTGTAAACTTTGTAATTTCATAATAGATTCATCCAAATTAGCTTAATGAGTAGTTATCCAATTGTTGCTGTTTATGGAGAAAATTGTTTCCTAAACTCCTGTATAGTGTTGATGGCAACAATTTCAAAAGTGATGCTCAATCATAACAGACCAAAACAAGCACTATGGGCAAACAAAGAAGTCTAGTATTTATTATTAATAATTAAATTCTAAGTAATTTGGTACTACAAAGAGGCATTAGGTGTCATCTCTTATTAAATTTAATAATTATAATTAAATTAATATTTATGAAAGAATTTAGAATATTCTGGAAGAAAAGAATCAACCTGGAGGTGGATTTGAACCTGCAGCTCCTGCTTACCACCAGTTATGCTACCTGGTCCGTGTAACTCTTTGCTTCCAGACATATTTAACATATAACCATCTAGAGATGTTTATATATAATCCTGCATTATTTTAAAACAATAATGCAGAAAACAAAATCTAAATTTGTAAATATTTAAAATATTCCAAGCCTTTTGAAGCAAACATAATAAAGCATTTTTCAAATGTTACATTATTGAAAAGTGCATATACTTTTCTATAATGAAGCATAACTTTATTAATATTTTAATTTAAATTGGAGAGATTTATTTTTGTTTGTAATGTAAAGTTACTTTGTACATCCAAAATATGACAACAAATAAAAAAATGAAAAGTTGTTGTTTATACTAGAAAATATGATCTGTCCATCCAATTGGATCCTGAACTATAAAACAATTTTCTAAATCTACTAATATTTATTAATTAATAAGCTAAAAAAAATGAAGGACAATGAAATAATGCATTCAACTTTATAAGGCCAGCATTTAAATTATAAACCTCTGGCATCAAATTAAAAGCAAGTGAAAATAATATTGATTACAAATAAGTCTATATTCAGTTATTAGTTTATCATATAGCATAATAAATTTTAACTGATAAAATATTTATGATTAAAAATACGTATTTATTTATTATGTAACAATGAAAAGATTTACATATTTATTATGAATATTTAATTAGTTAACATTAAGGGTGCACTGATTAATCAGTAAGTAATCGGCCATATCGGCCACTTAGCCGATTAATCGGTATCGGCCATTTCCCCAATTAATCGGTTTCAATAATCAGCCAAGTTTACATTTTGGTATTTTTGTTAGAATGTTACGTACAATGCTAGTAATAAAAACTAATAAATTTCTGTTATATATTTATTATTTATTACATGACAAACTGAATATTAAAAAAAATTTACTAATCAAATTATTCCTTTTATCAATACATATTCTAAGTATAATATAACGTATAATATAAAGTTTAAACTTTACATAAGAAAAAGTATTGAATAGGTTAAGAAAAAAAATTAAATTTTTATATGTTTCATAAGTTTAAAGTTTAAACATATAAAACAAATAAAAATTTAATATTTAAACTGTAAAACCCTTAAATTGTAATGCAAAAACATGAGAATTTCATCATTTTCAGGGCATAACCTATTTTTTGCCGGCTCATAAATGTTACCTCCAGTGCTGAAAATTTTTTCACTTTCAATGGAAGATGCTGAGGCACTTAAATATTTCATAGCTATTTTGCTCAAATTAGGGATAAATGTAAATATGTTTCTAATTCTTGATCGAAACGTTTGTTCGTCTCTTTCGTTTTTTTTTTTTTTTTTTAAAAACATGCTATTCTTCATTCTTTCGTTTACCAGAAGCTAATTCATCAAATAAATCAGAAAAACTTAGAAATTCACCTCCATCTTGATCACCTCCAGAAGTAGAAGCTTCAGAATTTAATTCTTATTGAGATTTCCTCTAGCATATCCTCTTTTTGAAATTTCATTTTGAATCTAATAAAAATGACAAGCATAAAGACTTGTTTTCTATATATGCTGAAAATCTTTTTTTATTGGATTTTCTAGTTCTTCTGTTGTGGTATTAATGCCACTAAAGGAACTACTGATCTTTGCTTTTGATAAGAATAATTTCAGAGTCTCTATTGTGGGAATTATTGAAGATGAAGTGGCTTCTCGTTTGCTGGCTTTCCACAGTAATTTCTTTAAATGGTTTTACAAGTAGAACAATTTTTTCAACGAGAGACCACTGATATGGGCTCAACGTAGGAATTTTATTATCTGTAGCATATGTGACAAGGGCCTTTTGCTGTTCCAACATGTAGTATGAGAATTCCAGTAGTATCTGTTCTTATCCAGAGGTGCTGGTGACTTTTGGTGAGCAGCTGCTGAAGTTTGTTTGTAGGCTTTTGAATGTGTTAATCTGGATGAAAAGGTGATATTTAACGATCGGATGGATTAAGGAAAGAATATTCGTTGGTTTGGAGTGAAAATTTTCGAATTTTTTCGAAATTCATCGATGGAATGAACTTAGAATGTTTGGTGATTGAGGAGGTAAAACTGAAGTAAATGAAGGAGTTGTGAGTACATAGAATGATATAATTAGATAATAGTGTGCTTATATAAATAGAAGATTAAGTATTTAAGTGGTTTAAAGGAAGATTTTTTGACTTTGAACGATAATATTAGAGACAGACACTTGAAAGACACCCGTGAGGGGCGTGGCATCGATTGATAGATGTGGAAAAATTAGTTAAGATTTGATTAAAATTTAATAAAAGTATGAGAATTCCAGTGAGTAGGAACATCTTGAATTAATTTGTGTTTCTGCAAACCTAACTTTTCTTGCAAATCTTCCAATTTGATTACAGTTACAACAGAATGATTAAAATGTGTGACAATATTTCTATTAACTGTGATTATAGTTTTCACATCTTGTTTAGAAAATATGCATTCATTTAGTGTCAGCTGCAGCATATGTATAAAGCATGATAATGCTTCTAAGTTGCAATTCCTAATTCCAGCTACCAGATTTGCTGCAGAATCTCTTAGTACTAAGAGTATCTTAGTACTTGTCAACTTATACTGTTCAAGAACAATTTTTAACTGTTCACTGATTCGTGTAACTGTGTGGGAACCTTCAAAGGAAACAATTTGCAAAACAGCTCTTTCCTGCTGAAAATCATCCTTTAAGCAGTGGGCTGTTACACTTAAAAAAGGAGAATTATTTGTAGTTTCTGTCCAAATATCAGCGGTTAAAGAAATATATTTTGTTTCTGTTAAACACAGAAACACTTCAGCTTTTTAAACAATGTCGAAGTTTCCATGCGTCAACAATTAAGTGTTGAGATTTATTTTAGAAACAAAGGAAGAGATTNCCCTTCTCCCTCTCTTCCGCCACCAGTTTACACCTCCACCGTCGTCTATCCTCAAAGGTAAAGGGCAAATAAAACTACATTTTTTTAAATCAATTATTATTCTATTATGGTTATTTATACATTTACAACTACAAAATGCATTTTTCAGTGTTTTCCTTACTATAGTTATTTTTTTATGTACTACTTAGCTTTGAGTGTGTTTTTCGTGTTGGAATGACTTATTTAGTTTTACATGTAATTGTATGGAGAAAAATGATTCACCTTACGACATTTTCATGATATTATCTCAGTTTCAGAATGGATTAATTTCGTATCCTGAGGTCTCTTCGTGGTGCCATATCAGATTCCTGACATCGGCGACACCTGTCGTAGGTTAGTAAGTAGTTAGTAACTTGCCAAGGTGTATACTAGGGAAAGTTACTACCCAGAGTGGTTTCCCGTTGCCTTCTCTGGGGCGCGATGTTACGTGAGTGGAATCCTGAGGTACCACTGTATTTTTAATGCATTTGTATCATTGAAAACTTTCACTTAAAAAAATATGTATTTTTTCGTATACTTTTCCCATCCATCCTTCCCTCCTTTATGCTAAGTTCACCTCTTCCATAAACCAACTCAAACACCCCTCAAGGCTCCTTTAGTCAACTCATTGACAGGACTAGCTTACAGACATGTGTTCCTGTTATACTGTTATGTTTCATGTGCATCCAGGTGTTTCTGTAATAAGAGATTTTGTTTCTTGTGCTTATTAAAAACAAAATTGCATTAGTTATTTCTATTATTATAAAACACTTAAAAGTTTCATCTAAAGTGTGAATCTATTTAAAAGATGGTATATGTGATTAGAAAGCTTTGAATTCAGCATGGAAAAGGTCTCATTAAGATAAGTCCCTTACAACGAAACTGCACAGTTTGAATCTTTTAATCATACAGCTGATCTAGGTAAATTGTCACAGCAGAGTGAAGACAATCAACAATTTCCATGCTGTATTCTATTTTATTTAAATTTTTTAAATATTTTTAATTTTATTT